GAGGCAGAAGCAGGATAAGGAGGGGTGAGCATCAGCAGCGGGGGGTGGAGAAGGGGGAGGGGTGAGCAGCAGGAGGAGGGTGAGGGTATGCGCAGGAGGATGAGGCGGAGGAGGAAGAGGAGAAGGATGAGGAGCGAACTCGCAGGGAGCGGAGGGACGAGGTCGAGGAGGAATAGGAATAGGAAAAGCAATAACACGATGCCTATGTCAAAGTAGCTTCGCGCCACCGTCTGAACTTGCCGACGAAGAAGGCGAACCTGAAGGCGGACACCACGACCCAGCACCGTAACTGAATGGCAGGACCAGGAAGCGGCAGGAACGAAGTCGATGCCTCGCACAAGTACCTTACACCAGGATCAATTGAAACTGCAATTTCACTCCTTCCCACCAGCCACGCAGAAACCTAAACATTAGGTAGTCGCATCATGGGGAGGAAAAGACTGGCTGTTAGAGACAAGGTGCTGCCAAAACCGACACGCGCTGCCCACCAGACGACGGTCGTCACCAGCCAATACACCCACGAGTATGGGATGGACTAACGGCGAATAGACCAATGGCGTGAACAATTTGCGAAAAAAAAAAGAAACAACACTTATCCTTCACCAGGCGAGTGGGAGAAACGTGACACTATGCACGAACCTCGGGAAAATCTGTACAAGGATTTGGCCAGCCTTGGACCAAGCACACCTCTCGGCTTTCCCATTGCGACATTGCAGCGGAGAGCGCTCCGACGGGCCGCTGACACTAAACGCTGAGAGGCCAGATGACTGAATACTATCACACGCTTTGCACGCTAGCCCATTACAGCATGATACGTGAAAATATGCCGAGGGGACCGCGTGTTCCTCCAACCACAAGCTTGCCCGCTGCCACCTCTCGCCCCTCTCGCACATGTTGGCCCAAGCTTTGTAGCGGATGACGGTCGGCTCACACGTCGCTTTACCATCTCGCCCACCAGCGGCGTTTCGCTGCTTATGTATGCCCTTCTCGCACTTGCTGATCCGAGCGTTGTAGCTGATGACAGTCGGCCCAAGCTTCGGCTCCCACATTACGCTCAGCAGCGACTGAACACTCCAAAACTGTTCGCCCTTCTTGCACGCGCCGATACCAGCACTGTAGGAGACAGGGGCAAGTTCAGTGCCCAGAAACAGTCTGTTTGCTGCCAGTGCTCGTCCTTTTCCCACGTACGCTCCAGACAGGGAGGATGGCGACGGTCGATGCTAGCTTCGCCTCCCACTGAATGTTCAGCAGCCGCAGCAACCGCTGCCACTTCCCACCCCCCTCGCACGTGCCGAACGTGAAAACAGTAGCAAAAATAACGTGGGAACATGCGGAGGGGACCACATGCATCTCTCTTCCTTCACTAATAGATTTGCCCGCCTTCGCCACCGCGATCGCCTGCAAACTTGCGCGGGAGACGCGGTGCCCCCCAAGCACCTCTGGGCGGTGACGGACGCGACGCCAGCGCGAGTTTGAGCCCAAAGGGTACCTACGCGCCTTGGGCCACATGTGCTTGAGACGAGGTGGAGGAGGAGGAGGAGGAGGAGGAGGAGGAGGAGGAGAGGGAGTGGGAAGAGGAGGCGAGGCAGGAGCGAAGCAGAGGGAGGGAGGATATGGCTGGAGTAGGGGAGAGAGGGGAAAGAGAGAGGGATTGAAGAAGAAGCAGCAGAGACCGGTGAGGCGGGATCAGGTAAACAGGAATGAAAGCATTGATCACGAAGGGGAAGACGAGGAGGACAGGCTGGACGAGGATAAAGAAGATTACGTGAACGGGCTCTCATTAGGACGACGTTGAGTTGGCAAAGTTGATTGCGACGACGAATTATGGTGATGGTGACGGCTGCGATGGCGCTGGTGATGGCGAAGGTGATCGAATTGTTTTAATTATGATGCCGATGGTGACGACGAAGTTGACGGCATAACGCCACCTCTGTAACCACGAGACAAGTGAGGTTTATTGCGGCCACCCACGGCAACTCATACCTCCGTCAAGCGGCACAAATCCAGTTGGGATTATCATCTCGATGTGTGCCATCTTCACTCCTGGCAATCACCAGAGACCTGGCTTCTCAGGCCAACAACATTCCCTGACAGCGAGAACGACCACCATAGCAGCAGTGGTTTAACGATGCCGTACTGAGATAGTGCCCTGCTTGCCCTCTGTGCATGCGCAGGTGTTCTTTATATGATGCTCAAGGTCTGTTCCAAATCTTTGCCGATTTAATAAGGTTGTTCGGTGCCAAATTGTGGCTGGTACTTGTTCAGCTTACGCCCCAAGGCTCACTCGCCCGCACGAGGCCGCGAGACGGGTGGCATCTGCGCGTCTCCAGGTCCGGCGGCGAGCCCAGGGGGGAACTCCAAGAAGACGGGCATTCTCAGAAGGCTCGGAGGGCCTCCGGCCTCCTGAGAAGTTGTTTTGAGCCTTCTCCGAAGATAGGAACGTCTTCTCAGAAGGCTGGCGAGCTTCTGAGAAGCCCCACCGCCGTCTGAGAAGGCCCGCCCCATTTTCTAGGGGAACAAAAAGTGGCATAAACATAAAAACTCGGAGGTCCGCGCGGATTTCTCGGATCGGCGCTGGGGCCCCCCGGCGGCGCCTCCGGCGCCGCCCCTGGCGCGCTCCGCGCGCCAGGGAGGGGGGTCCAGCGCCGATCCGAGAAATCCGCGCGGACCTCCGAGTTTTTATGTTTATGTCACTTTTTGTTCCCCTATTCTCACTTCCACCCCCCTGGGCTCGCCGCCAACAGGTTCGATATACAAAAAGTTGCAGGTAAGGGCAGAGTCAGCAGCTCTCGGTGCAGCCCAGGGGGTTCCTGTCACACAGCTTTGGATGCGCCTCATGTTCCTTTTCCTCACATCGCGCCTCCATTCTCCTACTCCTCGTCCTCCCCCTCCGCCATGGTTATCGTTCATATGTATTTTCTCTGGCTTTGCTGCCTATCTCTCTCTCTCTCTTTCTATCGCTGTCGTTTTTCTTTCTCTCTCTCTCTCTCTCTCGCTCTTTCTCTCTCCCTTTCTCTCTCTCTCTCTCTCTTTCTCTCTCTCTCTCTCTCTCTCTCTCTCTCTTTCTCCCAGTATACGTAGACATGTGTTTATATAAATATGCGTTAGCCAGCGTGGACCCCAAACAGTCTGTTTCTAAGAGTATCTATGTTGTGCCATCTATGTGGAGCGAGCACTCTATGTGGTGCAGTATACGTGGTGCGCCCTGTGGTTTGCAATCTATGCTGTGAAATAGTTTGGGGACAATGTATGTGTTGCGACCTATGTTGGGCGACATGTTGTGCAATAGATGTGGTGCAATCTACGTTGTGGACTCTTGAGCGGCAACGAGGCGGCGACGGGGCGGCGACGGCGAGGCGAGCACACAGCCGCCAGACCGCCACCCCGGCCCAAACGACTGGCGGCGATGAGGCGGCGACGGGGCGACGACGGCAAGCACGGAGCAGCCAGACTGCCATCCAGGCCCAGACGACGGGCGGCGACGAGGCGGCGACGGCGAGCACGGAGACGCCAGACCGCCACACAGGCCCAGACGACTGAAAGCGACGAGGCGGCGACGGCGGCTACAAGTGGCCGCCAGACGGACAGACAGGCCCAATTCCCTTGAACAGAAGTAAGAACCCTTCTGCGCAAGCACTCTCTGGGGAATATGTGTGTCCCTCTCGCTCTCTCTCCCCCTCTCACTCTTTCGATTCCTCTTTATCTCTCTTTCTCTCTCCCCCTCTCTCTCTCTCTCTGTCCATCTCTATCTCGCTCCCTCTCTGTATCTCTTTATACATCGCCATATGTTTCAATGTCTCCCTCTCGTTCTCTCTCTCTCTCTCTCTCTTTGCCGCATCCGCCTCCCCCTCCTTCTCCTATTCCTCCTCTTCCTCCTCTCTCTCTCTCTCTCTCTCTTTCTCTCTGCTCCTCATATCTCCTCTCGTCTCCCTCCTCCTCCTTCTCCTCCTCCTCCTTCTCCTCCTCGCTCTCTTCCCCTTCGGGGCCAGCTGATTGGCAGTTGCGGCAGGCACCCTACGGTTGCCGAGCGGCCGCCGTGCGACTGCTGTTTTCGGGGGTCATATGTATATGTGCACGGTATCTATAGAATAAATTTATATTTAAAAAACAGAATACAAAAAAGGCGTTCCAGGACCCGGGGGGGGCCAGGCTCATTCCCCCATGGCGGTGCCGGGGCTTCAGGAGGACTCTTTCGCACTCCAAGACGATTTAGATGCCTTCCACGACGGCCAAGATGGCTCAAGATGGCCTGAGTGATGCCTCCAACACCGCCATGAAGCCCCCAAGACGCCCCCAGACGCCCCCAAGAGGCAACAATGGTCCCATTACCTTCCGAAAACGTATATGTTTACCCTATTCGCCTCTTGGGCTTTCACAGCGTCCACGACTGCCCGAGAAACCCCAAAAATTGTCCCGAGGCCCCGAAGAAGGCTCCAAGACGGCCCAAGAGGGCCCCAAGACGGCCGAAGAGGGCCCCAGGACGCCCCAAGAAGGGGCCCAGAGGGGGTCACCGACATTTCAAGCTCTCCGCTCCTAGAGGTCCCCACGAGTCCCCCAAGAAGTCCCCGAAAGATTTTCCAAGAGGCCCCAACAGGTCCCCTGGAGACCCCAAAGAGGCCCTCAGAGGCCCCGAAACAGCTACCAGGAAGCCCCACGAGGCCCCCAAGAACTGTGCGCGTCAGCTTGTCAATGGTTGGGGCGTGCTAGAACCTAAGCGCGCGTGGTTCTAGTTCTTATACAGAAGTCTTACATGTAGAGAGAGGGAGAGAGAGAGAGAGGGAAAAAAAGGGAGGCAGAGTGCTAGAACAAGAGCAAAGAAAGGCAGAACAACAGACAAACGGGCAGGCAGACCGGTAGGCAGACCGGTATATAGAGAGAGGGAGAGAGATGGACATGGAGAGGTGCAGAGAGAGAAGGGGAGGCACCAGGTGTGGGGGAAGAGGGGTGGGGGGGGGACGCAGCGCTGGAGCGTCGAGGGGGGGGGGGACGCTCCCCTCGAGGCGGCCCCAGAGAAGAAGTTCGAGGAGGTCAAGCCCGAGGCGAAGGCCGAGGAGGCCAAGAAGTGAGAGCCTTGGATGCGACCGCTGGTTGCGAAGTTTTACGGGGGAGGGAGAGGAAGGAGAGGAGGGAGAGGGAGGGGGAGGAGGGCGGGGGGCAGCGGTGAAAGGCGAAAAGGTGATGCAGGGACGGGAAGGAATCGGGGAGAGGACGAGGAGGGTGAGCAGTGAGAGTCGAGGAGGAAGGGGGCAGAAGAGGGGGAGACGGAGAAATGGAGAGCAAGAGGTGCACGTAGATGTATATATGTATACATATATCTATATGTGGAGAGAGATGGAGAGCGAGAGAGAGAACCAACATAACAACTAAATGATAAGAAAGAGAGTGCGAGAGAGAGAGAGAGGAGAGTGAGGTAAGAGACAAGAGAGAGAAGAGAGTTAAGAGAGAGAGAGAGAGAGCGAAAGACACAACAAAAAGATAAGAGACAAGAGAGGGGTAAGAGAGAGAGGTGCGAGAGAGGAGGGAGACAGAGAGAGAGAGAGGAAAGAGTAGAGAGACAGGGGAGAGAAGAGAGAGAGTGGCACGGATGTAGATCGCGGTTCGGCCCAGGCGCCAGGTGACAAGACGTTGGTGCGACCCACGCTTAGGTTTGGTGCCCAGCAGATTGGAGCAGGAGACGAGAGGACGAGGCGCGCGACGAGGCGCACGATTGGTCGGGCAGCACAGGGGCCCCGAGCGGCGTGCGGCGCGCGACCACTGGGGGGACCAACGTGTAAGAAAGAGACCGGCGGCAGGATGACACCGTGGCGGGACGCCTCCCCCGTTGTGGCGATCCTTTCCACGCGGTACCCCGCCCGGAGGGTGCGCGGCGAGGCATTGTTAGCCAGGCAGTGCCGCCGCGGTAAGGAAAGAGAGAGAAAGAGAGAGCACATATGTATATTCATAAGAGGGGTAAGAGAGGAGATAAGAGACGAAAAGGTAATAGGGGGAATGGAGAGGGAGAAGAGAGGGAAGAAGAAACGGAACATGACAGGTAGAAAGAGAAAGAGGAGGGAGAGAGACACAGAGAGAGAGAGAGAAATAGAGAGAGAGGAAAAAAAGGGGGGGAGAGAGGGAGAGAGAGAAAAAAAATAAAGAGAGAGAGAGAGAGAGAGAGCGAGAGCGAGAGGGA